TCAGATTGAGACTGCATCCGCTACTCTTCTACCCTCTTCTAATTATGCTGCTGCTGCTAGCACTTCAACTGATACTGGCTCTGTCAACGTCGATGCTAATGCTGTTATTATATCAGCTGGTACAGCTACTCATCTACCGGCAATAATGCCGCCCAACGATGCTGCTGCTAACATTTCAACTGCGACGCCAATTCCTAACGCCCCTGCCTCTCAATTTTCTTCGCCTACTTCGGTTATTGTTGACAACCCTCCTGCAGTTGTTGGTAACCAAAACGAATGGAAAAGAGTGCAAAATAAAAAAAAGAACAAACGAAGAAATAATAATAAAAACCAATTCAACCGAGAACGCGCTCCCAACAATGATAATGCTGAAGCAGGTACTAGCTCAAATCCGGATAGTGCTGAAAGCAACAATAATGCTGCAATTGCAAATACCAACATTAGACCCACCCCAAATAATGGTAAACAACTTAATTTGCCTTTACTAGCGCAACCTTTAGTTGTTGGGTCGGCAATTCATAGTGATTTAAGTGCTGTTACGAAAAGGAAGTGGTTGCATATCTCGCCTTTCTCTGCTTCGGTTACATCCGAAAAATTAACATCGCACATTTCTCAACATACCGGGATAGACGAAAAATCTATCGTCTGTATTCCATTGGAAAAGGCTGGCGTGGATCCCAAATCTCTGCGTTATATTAACTTTAAGCTGGGTGTTGAAGCCAGCTCACTTCAAAAGCTATTGGTGCCAGAGCTATGGCCTACAAATATAGCTGTGCGGCCATTTAAATTTGGGTCAAAAAAACGACGAGGTCCAACCGATGTCCAACGGCAATCGGTTGGGCCCGGTGGAACAATCAGTGGCCTAAAAATTTACGTGCAAAACATGGCTGGTGTTAGAACAAAATCCCAGCTCTTGCGGCTATTCAGTTCACATCAGGATTATGATGTCTTCGTTATCATTGAGACGTGGTTAAATGAGAACTTTAATAGCGAGGAGTTCTTCGACCCCAAGCTTTATAATGTCTTCCGCAAGGATAGAAATGCCAACCTCACTGGATGTGCTAGAGGAGGTGGAGTTCTCATCGCAGTGCACTGCAAACATCACGCTTCTGAGGTTGCACTTAATAATAATGATGCGCTGCTTGATCAACTTTGTGTTCTTATCCGAGGCACCTCAGACTCAATTTTTCTTTGTGCTTCGTAT